CGTTTCCGACGAGATCTCCATCGCGCCTTATCTCGCCTCTCGCCACGATTGTCATCTCACTCTCTTCCGAGTATGTTGCGAATCGCCGAATTCGAACGGGATTCTTACGAAGAACTTTTGGCCAACAGTTCTGATCCCACGTTCGAAACCGACTTGCTCTTCATTTCCCGTAGGAAAAATTTCGTTAGATGAAGATTCGGTAGCAAGTTCGTCTAAGACAGTTAGCGATTTACGGTCAAATCGGACATTTATTTCGTCACGGTCGAGCTGCGGGAAGATATCCGCGAGCAAATTACCAGACGTGTTCTCGAACGAGAAGCGGGAACGAAACGTCTCGCAGTGAGACGTCACGCGCGGCGTATTTGGGCAAACAATGAGCGGAATGATTCGGAAGATGCATTGCCGGCAGGATTCGAGGGAAATTCCTCGATCCAGGCATTGCTACGTTTCTTTTTTCTTTCTTTCTTTATTTCTTTCTTTCTTTCTTTTTTCTGCCGTGTCGAATTCGCGTGGGAGGAGTGTGTTTAAATTCTCTGGCAAAGCAGTTCTTCCAATAAATGAAACAGGGAATGTAAAGAGTGTAATTATCTCTTCGAATTGGGAATAATCGTCTTTCTATCAATTTTGTACGAATTATCAAAGAAGGAGAAAACAAAAGAAGGACAAGGCAAGAGGAAGGAAGAGAACTTGACAAGGAAGAGATAGAAGAATCTAATTGTCTCTTCCAATTGGGAACGATTATCTTTTTCAATTTGTCCGAATTATCAAAAAAGGAAAAGACAAAAGAAGAACAAGAGAAGAAGAAGGAAGAGAATGTGATGAAGAAGACCTTTAAAGGATAATTTATTTGGACTTTTTCGATACTGTACATATCTTAAAATTTTATGCTCAAAAAGTGTTAAAAAAGCTACACTCAATATAACTATTAAAATTATTAAAACAAAATTATTAAAACAATAATTATTATTATTATTTATTATATCATGTATAATTTAACTTAAATTCTAAATTTATTGCACTAAGTTATTATATACAAATATACAATTAAAATTAATTTATTTATTAAATAATAAATAATTTATAAATTATGTCCTTTCGTACAAATAATTTAAATCTTCTTATAGATAAAACCAATCTGACTTACGTCGATTTGAACTCAAATCATGTAGGATTTTTAAAGTCGAACAAACTGTACGAAGAGTCTAATTGTCTCTTCTCTAATTGGGAATTTTTCAATTCTTTCCAATTTTATCGAAGA